GGTGCCTCGGAAACCCGGGAAAAGTCATCGCGGAGGGGTTGGAAAATAGTCGAGCTGGTTCCACGTGTGGGCTCGATGTGTCGTTTATTGCATGACAAGTAGATCGGAAATTGCGTGACCCTCGACAACTCGGTAGTGCGCGGCGCATTTTCAAATTTCATGTCGCGTAGAGACAGAAAGGTTTCGCTGTTTTATCGCTATATTATCTTGCGCGTATCTTGCCTGCTTTACCACAGCACACAAATATGCTCGACTGTTAAGGGTCTGTTTCTAAAGAAAAAGAAGAGCGTGACACGACGATTTCTTTCCCCTCGTTTTGCGAATTCTGGTTGCCGCGCGGCTTGATAGAGTGTGATAGCAATTTATTTGATCCAGTTGCTCGGCGGTGTGCAATTAAATGCTGGGAACTCAGCGACGGCGAGAAAAAAGCGGAAAGCGTACCGCCATTCGTCTTTCGTTCGATTCCTCCGGCCGTTCTCCATAATTGAACGGTGTGATTTTCTCGATACGAGCGCGGACCCCGCCAATTGTATTTATTAATAGAGAAACACCGGCGCGCAGCCGTGGCTCGACTGCCGCGAATAATTCACGACGGCGGGAACATATCCGCGAATTGAGTAGCGAATTATGTAGTAGCGACGAGTGCCGACGATCGGATTCGCGGCTATTAATTTCCCGGGGGGATCCTCGAATAAATATCGCCGGCCGGATAGCGTAACCGAGGAAAAAGCAGAGTCATCCCGGCGAACGCTCCTTTCACCTGGCGGCTCCGTTTAATTACCGTTCGCCGGCCGGAATGAGGAGCGGTCGAAGGAAGGTAATCGACTGGGATACCGAATCGAACCGCGAGATCATGACGCACGGCGTTTTCGTTTCCCAATTATCGTCGATCAAGCTGTCGACGCGGATGAATCGCGAGCGTGCAGTTCTAGTGTGTTCGACCAGTCACGAGCAATTCCACACCGCCGAGCGACGAGTCACGGGTGGTTCTGCTCCGTCGAACGACCAATTCGCGAGCGGTTGCGGTGCGCCAAATGAGGAATCTTGAGGAATTCTAGTCCGTCGAACGACGAATCCCGAGCAATTTTAATCCGCCCAACGACGAACTCGTGGCCGATTATAGTCTCGCGAACGATTACAGTCTTATCGAACGACGAATCGCGAGCAATCGTAGTCCGTCGAACGAGGAACCGTAAACGCAACCTTCTGGCGCGTTAAGCGAAGAATCACGGGAAATACTGGTCTGCGGAACAACGAATTCAAGCGGCATTAGACTATCCCCACGCGAAATTAACGACGCTTCCCGCGGAGTAACCGAGCCCGGAGGACGATCGTAAACGGTGTCTCCTGTCCTCAGCGCGGAATACTCGCTCCTCTTTCCCGGTTCTTAATTAATTTTATAAAGGACGATAAAGCAGCCGTTAACGAACCGGCGCGGAAACATTAAACAAGATTACCCGCTTACGTGGAATTATAAAAATATAAGAGCGTTAGGGGAAGCTCGGCTAGAAATAAACGCGCGGCGGTGCCAAGGTTACGGAGACACCGATACCGAGGCGCGGAGGGGCACGGCGCGTGGAAACGATCTCCGGCTTCGCGTTCCCGGCGATATTTAGGCCGTAAAAAACCGCTCGACGGAAGAATCGGTGAACGACGGCGACGTACGTTCACGGTGCATTTATTTAGGGTGGGACGCGGATCGATCGGCCGGCTCGAGGCTCGTAATCGCGAGCAGGCTAAGGAGCGCGCCCCACCGAGCCGATCCAGGCGACGGATAAAATACGCGAGACCGTTTGTTCCGTGGAATGGCTAACGAGACCGCATCGAGGATCCATGGAACTTCTAATTAGAAACGGATGGGATCGATTTCCGCGGGGGAAAGCCGCGGTGAACGGAGCTCCTCGCGTATCTCTCCGCAGCTCGAAGGAGCTTTGGCCGACTATAAACTTCGTGAATCGCGTTCGCCCCTTGCGATTAGGTCGGTTAAAACAGCTCCAGCCTCTGCTTAGCTTTTTATGCGCGCTGGCATTTATTTGAACCCACCTCGAGAAGTTCAAGTTACTCGCAGTCGAGGAATTAAACGTTGAAACGGGCGATCTTGCCCTGTCGATAGCTTAAACGTGAAATCTACGACTCCGCAAATGTACGACTCCCCGAACGATACTCGAACGATACTCCCGTCGGCAACGCGACGGCCGGAGACAGGCGAACCCTTCGTAGGACACGAAATATCCCTGTGAACAAAGGCGGAGTTAATACAGTGCTCTCAATGAACGGTCCTATTATTTCCCGGGCTGTCCAGAAGGAGTCGAAGATCCATCAGCGCGATTGCCACCCTTCGCAATCGCCGACGAAGCTAGAATTAAGTCGGCGAGCGTTCTCGAAGCGGCGGCCGAACAGGGCGCGAAGAAAGTACGTATATTTCCCAGCGAGTCAAGATGCAAGAAAAGTTCTTCCTTGGCAAAAGAGAGTCGGACGGGGCGGCCGCTCATCGAATATTCATCGGTGTGAGGAAAGAAATTTCAAAGGCCGACCATCCGGGAGGCCCGAGCAACGTTTCTTTCTTTTCCTTTCGTTTCCCTGCCATTTCCCTCCTGTTTCCCTCCTGTTTCCCTCCTGTTTCCCTCCTGTTTCCCTCCTGTTTCCCTGCAGACGCCGCCACCCCGCGACTGCGACGTCTCCTCGGGACGTAATCGTCCGCGCGTTTATTAAAATTACAACGCGCCCCGACGTATACGAGCGTCGTAAATAGCGTTCGAGCGGAGAGCCGAGCCGAGCCGAGACTCGCAGTGATATGAGAGTGCAGAAGCTCTGATGCAGCATGCCTAATTATAGACGATACGATCGATTCGCGTCGGTGCAGCGCTAGCTCTCTCTCTCTTTCTCTCTCTCTCTCTCTATCCCTATCTCTCTCTCGGTCTCGATCGTGCGCACGCACGTACGTGCACACACACACACACGCCTACGAGGTTGAATCGCGCGCGAGCGAGTGTAATACGCATCCCCGCGGTAGCAGCATCGTGCACGTGCACGCGTGCACACGCTTGCATCGGCTAGACGAATAATGGGGAGGAGACCGCGTGCAGCGGTGTGCGCGTCCGATGCTCGTCGGGCCGGCAATAGCGAGATTTTTTCGGCGTTCCGCTCGTTCCCTCTACCCGGCGAGCACACTTTCATTATCCGAATAGTGGAACAAGTGCTCGATTGCCGGCCACGTAACAGGCTCCCTTCGATTTTTCCCTGTTTGCTCTGGAAACGCTGTCGACGGGGCTCCTTCGGTGTTCGTGTTCCTTTCGTTCTGCGCGCGTCTCGCCGCGATCGCCGGATGCGACGACTCATCCGCGGGAACTCGATGTCGGTCTGTAACCCGTTGCATTAATATGCTAACGCCGGTTGAAAATAACACGGTTCGTCTCATCTGTATGCGTCTTTCGTGTCACTCGTCCTCCGCGCTTGTCTCTCGGCGATCTCGTTATTGCGACGTGAAACTTTGTGCGTTCTAATGAATGCTTGTCTTCGTGCTTTGATAATTACGCCACAGTCATAATTTAATTGCCACGTAAATAAGCCTGCCGCTCCTCTGACGCGTCTTTGTCGCTTGGATCGCGTGTCCCTGTGTCCGCCGCTTTTCCAGTATTTCCCTCGGATAGTATATTTTCAAGTTGCGCGTTAATTATCGCTTTGCGCTCGGAGGTTAACTCTTGACGGTCGAAAGGCTGCTACGCGGAAACCTGGACCTGTTTCTTTTCGTTTCTATCTCTCGCCGATGGCGCATCGAACGCCACTCCTTTGTTGTTAACCTTTCGTTAACGTTTCACACGGTCTGCGTGTCAGAAATGCAATGTCACTGCGATTTCGGACCAAAGATGTATAATGCGTTCGCCGATAGCTTTCGATTCGCCGGGCGTCGAACCGGCATTCAATTGAACCCTCGGAAAGGCCACGTTGGCCGAAAACGTCGGCATCAACGCCGGACAACGTCGGGTTCGCGTCGCGAAATTTCTAATTAGACGCGATATCGGATCGATTCCCGCACGTGCATCCGACCGGAACCGACCGGAGAGCGATAGGGACAACGAAGTCCAGGATCCCGTGGATTCGGTCGTCGATCGATCGCCGGCTTGTCGAAAGACGTCACGGCGTGTCAACTCGGTCCGAACTCGTAACGAGGGAGGATTTTCAATCAGGGGACTCGGGGGGGTTGAATTAATACCGGGGAAAATTCGAAAGTTCAGAGAGCGGTGGGTGCTCGCGGGATGAAGGCTGCGGTCGCCGGAAGCTCCGTCCGCCGGGATCCGTTACTTATACCGAGCCGGCTCCGAGCCTGATCACGAAGATCGATCGTAGCCGAATTATTGAATAAAATATGACGGCGTCCGCTATAATGAAATAACTTCCGATATGCGCGGCTCGTTCCCGGCGAGTTCGCCTCGACCCCTGATGCACTCTTTGTGCCGGCTGATAAGCTCCTCTCAAAGTCTGACAGATTTCTTCGCGAACGTCTTCCTGAAATTACATGGTAATAGACATCCAATCCGGGAACGAGCAGTTTTTGCCCCGAATACGCCCGGCTTGATTACGAATTCATCGGCCGTCACGGGAGAGTTGCGGCGATGCATCAACGAATCGGCTGCCCGAAATCAAGCTTTGGTTAATTATGTACCGTTCTACCAGATGTACTTTTGCGCGCGTTCCTCGAATAGAACGGAACGTGTCGTACCGATAACGAGTGTTATGCATAACTGATAACGAAAGATTCGAATCACGTCCTGCGAACGTTGAGCACGTTTCACTTGTCGGCTGCTACAGAGTCTCGAGCGTTGTAGTATCTATTCTTTCGTAGCGATAATACGTTTGTTAACATTCGTTTCGTAAATTTGAAAGGGACGTGCGTACTCAGCCCCTATTAACAGTGTCTCCTCCAAATTGAGAGATTAAATTCTCAAGCTGCGATAAGGCGCCAACGAAACTAAAGAATATTGCACGTTTCATCGTTACAGATCACGTGGATCGACGGCCTGGGGAACGTGCTGCACAGAGGTATCAAGACGACGAAGGAATTGTTCGACGACGGGCCCCTCTACACCGTGAAATCCGTCCTGAAGGTGATGCCGCGGAAGGATCACGACAACACGACGTTCACGTGCCAAAGTCAGAACGCGGCGGACCGCACGCCGCAGAACGCCAAGCTGCGCGTCGAGGTGAGTCGAACGCGAAGAGAACAGGGCACGAGACAGAGAGAGAGAGAGAGAGATTGTGAGTGAGTGAGTGAGAGAGAAGCCCGGAAAACTGGGCCATCCCGGCTAAAAAGGGATTCCGGGCTTTTGCGCGTTTTCCTCGACAACCCATTTTCCGAACGAAGAACGAGATTAACACGGACCGCGCGAAACCGGCCGGAGTCGCGGTAACGAGCTAAAGAATAATTAACGGCGTGTCGTGGAAATTGGCCCGCGGAATAATTGTCAGCTCACGGACAGCTACTTTTGACCCTTCCGCAATCTACGCGATTGCGATGAAGCGGCCAGGATTTGTTCCGCGGAATTCGCGAACGGAGGATCAAATATCGAGGCTGCGCAAAAACCCGGAGTGTCTTCCGGTTGGATCGGGTTTCCGGAAGTATCTCGCGGGATAAGAATGTCGAGACTCTTCGAGTCGTTCTCCGCGTGTACTGCAAGTACGAAACGTGAGAAACAAAATAAAGATAGCGCGGTAAATGTACGATGCAGTAGTGTTCTACTTGGAAGTCGCGTGAGAAAGAATAATTGCTTTACTTCAGAATTGTTGCTATAATAGTAGCCCGCGGGGTTGTATGCATTTATGGGAAATTTAACAGTAGAATTACCGAGTAATTCAATTAGATTTTCTAATTTTTCTGTAGAAACGCCGTGGTTGCGCGCTGAGATTTCAATCGATTTGCAATTCAGTTTGTGTATTTTTAAATCAATTTTATTACTCGTTTCCCAAAGAAGCATCTGTTCCTTTTCAATAATCGCAGAAGATTTTGAGGATTTAGGAAACTGTATCGCCACTCGACTTTTTCAATGATACACTCGAACGTCCGAGATTGCGTGAAGATCCGCAGCCTAATGATTGAAAACGGAAGAGAACTGTTCGCTAATTGAACCGACATCTTACACGCAGCAACTCTATACAAAATATTTATCGATTCCTCTATCGTTAGAGGTACGTCTGCCCGCGTATCATTGCATCGCAATTACCGCGTATCGCGAAGGGAAAGTCGTAATTGCCCGACAATTCAGTTTCAAGGAATATCGCGAATTCATGGAACAATAGCTAAACCGGCCGTGTCTTGTCCTAGTCTCGGGTTATTGCTACGACAGTAGCAGTGCAGTAACCCGTTCCCAGAAACATCGTTTAGCGACTCGTCGCCGAGCGATATTAATTGTCAGGGAATTACCTGGACGTGGAATAAAGTGCGCGAAGCGCTAAGCACTCGGCGGCCGTCACGCGAGCTGCCCGCGTTCCCTGGGATCGATCGTGACGCGACGCGACGATGCTCATGAAAGTTTGAGCATCGGCTCGCGTGACGTTTCGAGCATCTAGCCGGTAGATTCTAGTGCGACGCTCCTATCGAACTCGCGTATCTCGATTTGCAGGTTCGCTACGCGCCCAAAGTGTCCCTGAGAATCCGGTCGGGTCTGGGCAAGAATGGCCGCATCATCGAGGGGACCGAGCTGCGGTTCAAATGTCGTGCCGAGGCCAATCCGTCGAACGTGGAATACAGGTGAGTGCTAGCACGCGAATAACGCGAGTCCACGGGATCCGGTTGCTCGTGTCGCTGTCGGCGAACAAGAGCTCTGACAATCGATATTCACCGCGACGACCCCGGGCTAGCGATGGGACCAACCTCGATACGTGCTTACACATCCGAATCGAACACAGTACTCGAGGTTTCTATCGTTGCGATGCAACGAAGGCAATCCTGCAGCGTCTCGCATTGTCCTGCTGGGATGAATCGAGTCTTACGGGGAGTGGACGGTTTCAATGAAACAGCGGTTAGAAAATTTGCTCATCTGTCGTTACCTCGATGAATTCATGGTCCATGCGTTTATATTTCTCTTTCGGCGGATATCGAAGATAGGGAACGTATTCTAAGGTCATACCGTATGCACCTTTCTTACCGTTGAAACGCGAGCAACTCTTGCGCGATGGAGGCTTGTATAATTTAAACGGTTCTAGTTACGAAGTTCCTGCTAGAACTTTGATCAGGCGAAGCGAGACTCCGCTGTAATTAATTATTCATCCGTCGAACGTGGAACATATTTTCGTTCAATCGCGAAGAGAATAAGGTGGTGTACGGTTGCGTATGAATAACGTATAGACGCGGGAACGAATAGAATTGAAAATGTCACGATTCCTTATACGTAACGCCATTAAAGAATTCTCGCGATCTTTGTATACCTTCTTTTCAAGTATCGTCGGCTTCCTTACGTCTACCTTTCGACGGTAATTCCATTAACCCATTCGAGACGAAGCAAGGAGCAGCTAAAAAGTCCAATCATCGGGTGCATAATGATTATGCATCTCTATCATCAGTTAGTAGCTAGAGATCAAAGTTAAAGCTATGGCGCCAGGAAGAGTAACCCGCGATCAAGGTGATCAGGTTAAAAACGTGAACAGTAATGACGAAAGAAATTATTTCGAGTCTTGATTCTTAGAGGTCGTCTTTAAAAAAGCCCCAGTTCGCGAAGAACAAGACGTCGATCGGAAATACAGCACTTATCCTCTTCAACCGAGCCATCAAAGGAAAGAATGCATGTACTTTCCGAACGTGCATCGAAAAAGAGTTTCGATCCAGCGGATCGCTTAGCCGACAGAACAGCCCAGCAATTAAGATTAACCGGGGCAAAAAAGAGTCACAGAGAACAGAGCACGATCGCAGATTTTCAGAGCACCGTGCGGCGCTTATTTCCTGCGTTTTCAGCGGGCTCGGAACCGTTGTTCCGTCGAAGAACGGCACAAAGGGGGAATTAGCGGGCAATCGGTCGTCGGCGCGCGCGTAGTGAGCGAATAATTAATGCCGCTCGCGGCGGGAGGACAATGGAAAACTTTGGGACAATGTTGGCCGGTGGCACGTCGCGTCACGCGTTGTCTTGCCGCCCGTTTCGACGACTCGTCCGCGAGGGGTTGACATTCATTGCGGAGGCTGTTACGGTTTCGGAAGAAGATTATTTCAAACGATTCAAGATCGTTAACGCGTCCACTGCCGCGTCGGTCACCGTTCACCGGAGCTTCCAAATTGTTCGAGAACTGTTACTTTTTATAACGTATTACGAAATAATAAGCGATACTATATAAATGACAAAAGTGGGACAATGGGGAATTCCTTGCATTTCTTCGTGACGCACGGACAATGGAGCTGTTACATTCATCTACGATCGAAAAGAGAGTAGTGAACTCGTTCTAGTTGTCGAGAGTGAATCTTTCCCAAAGGCCCATTATTTCGAACGATAACAAGGTGAAGGATCGCGGGGCGAAAGCGAAAGTGCGTCGGTCCGTGTATCGAGGACGAACTCCGGCGAAGGTAAAGAGGGACGGTAAACACGGTTTAATTAAGCAACTTTCGACGAGCCGCCCAAGTTTTATGGGTCAAATTGGAATTGTGGAACGCGGCTGCACAACCGATAGAGACGCGTCCGTTTAACCCCAGTGTGACCGACGGAGAGTCTCCTCGAACCCACCGCGTATCTAAAATCTAAACGCTATTTCATTATTTTCTATATAAACGACACATTACTTGTCTATTCTTCTTTTTCTCTCGTGGATTATTAACCATAAAGTACCGCCGGGAGACCACTCAAGCACGGTGGCGAAAGAAATCATAAGACAAGGGGTTGATATTATAGTAAACCAGGGTGTTTCCTGTTGCTCTTTCACATAACGGCTCGGAGGTCGGTGTTCCTAGGGGCAATCTTCGTAAAAATAATGGGAACGGTGCTCGATGGCTATTAGCGACGCGACTTCGATGAAAGCCGAGCGTGACGTACGGGGGTCGCATAGGGCGGCCCGGGATCCTCCCCAAGACACACGAGCCCGCCAACTCTCGCCGCTTGTTCCATTCAGTACGCTTCTTCTCCCTCTGCGATAACGTATGTGAACGCGATCCGACGCTGAAAAGAGGCGCTCCTCTCGTTTATTACCATCCGAAACGATTCCCGGCGTTCTTTTCATCGATTGCGCCACGCGAACGGGATAAATCTCGCGACTGCGACGGGAACGAGCACCGGAAACCAGTACGTGACTCTCGCCGCTCTTCGGATTAAGAGTTTAATACGTCTTCCGCGACTTTCTTGGTATCGTGGATACTCGTTCATCGTAGATACCCGAGTTCGAACGTTTGTCGACCAGTTCACTGTGAAATTCTCGTTCGGTTTCGAAAGTCTCTCGGGAGTGTGCGGTTAAATCAATCGATACAGAACAGACGCAGCTAACATATATTTAAAGGGGAAACTAAAGTAGAAGGACCAAGTCGAAATGTATACTCGGTAATTTATTAGCCATTTTCGTTTGCAATCTTCTTTTCGTTTCTACCAAAGTTTAGATAAGTGAACTTGTCGTCCGTGACGTATTCATAGTTCCGTGTAACCGGCTCCGAGGCTGAAAGGATTTCAAAGATCGCTCGAGGGAAAATATTCGTGAAACTAATTCGCGGGAGGCTATCGTTTGCACGTCTTTGTTCCTTTCCTCGGCTCGAAGACTCGCATCGATCGCCGAGAGAAATGACAGGTGCACGAGATATATCTGTGTACGTAAGGCGGAACGTCTTGAGCCACATGTTTTCCATCTCTCGAGATACTGTAGCTGTCAGTTCTATTCGTCAATCTGACTGTAGTGTTCGATATTTTCGCAAATCTATTTCAAACGGGAAATATTCCTTCTTCCGAGGAAAGAACGAATTCCACGTGTTACACCTCGCGTTGCGGCACACAATTGGTTATACCTGAGCCGTCGGACGTTGAATATTAAACACCTGACACGCGAATTTTCAAGCAGAAACGTCGAGAAACGTGGTGTAATTAAAGTGTCGCCAAAAATGTCGCACGTATACGACAAACGTGATTCGCGAAACACTATCTTTCGCCGTAGTCCGTTAAAAAATCAGAACTCCGAGTAACTTGTTAATATTAATAATCGGTATTCCGGCGTTCATAATCGAGACGCTTTCGCATTGGCAAAATAAAAACCGTATGCGAGCGTACACTCGATCGCGAGCATAAACGTTTGGGGAAAACGGATTACGGAATACGAAATGGTCGACGTCGGTGAAAAGAGAGGAGAGAAAAGAGAAAAGAGAAAAGGAGAAGGGGTCGCCGCGAACAGAGAATATTAAAAAATGCATAATTATCCCCGGAGCTTTTCTCGCCTGTGGCTCGGTCGACCGCCGGTGGCCTCTTTTCGCCGGAGAGCGGCGCACATTATCGTGCAATTACACACTCACCGGCCTATCCTATTTCTCTGCCTCCTCCCAGGTGGTTTATCAACGAGAAGAAGGTCATCGGGGACTACACCACGGAGATGATCATCCACAACGCGACCCGCGATCTTCACGATGCCATCGTAAAGTGCGAGGTCCACAACGACGTTGGGAAAAGCGAGGACACGGAGACCCTGGATATAACCTGTGAGTAGAAAAATACGCATTCATTCGAAAGCGAAACCGGCGCCAGTCACTTTCGAGACCGTCTCTTTCAAGCGAGCACCGTGTTCGGAGATTATTTCAAAGTATCATCGAACTCATTTCTATTCTCAACGGAATCCACTCGCGATGGTTTTACTCTCGAATGGACACTCAGCCTCACCCCTCGCTGTACAATAACAAGCGAAACTCGAGCCGAAGATTTCTATATTAATTTTCTAATGATCTAAAAATACACTACGCGTGGATGGAAATGAAAAGCCGTGTTCGTTCAATCAAAATTACATCGTGAAACTAGATCTGCACAAACTAGATTTTTCTCGAGAACGGAGGACCATTGTCAGCAAAGCTACGAGAACTTTTCATTTCTAGATACGTATTATAAGATGCGTAGAGTTTCATTGAAAAACAGACTCCTATGTCTGTCCTTCTTGTCGGAGAAACGGAACAACCCCTTGAAGATAACCGGCGCGAGCGGTGCGCACGTAGACCCGGGAATTACGAATCTCCGCGCGTCGAGTTTTACGAGACGCCGAGCCGAATCTACGCGTTACTATTCGCTGACTCGTCCCTTCCTCCATAATCTGGCCCGCCCGTCCGGCGGGGTGTACCGTTCCGATACCGTTCCGTTCCAGTCGGCTATTTAGTCGGGAGATCCCGGGTTTCGTGGATTTTCGCGTGGTGCATCAGCGAAATTCGGGATCACGCTTGTCAAAAGAGACCCGGCACGAAGGGGAGGATAAATTGGACCTCTTCAGGGAGCATTTGTCCGTGTATTTTTGGAGCGTCTTCGCGATTTATGGTCGCCTTTTCCACGGCCCAAGGAGCGGCGAACGTGATCCCGCGTAACGCTGTGGAAAATGGCGGCCGAGGCGCACAACCGGAGA